AGCCAGCGCGGGCAAAGAGAAGCGGGCCGGCTCGAACCCGGCCGTTTCTGCCCCAGGACCCGTTTGTAACCGTCCACGGGCAAGCTCGCCGCCGTGCCCCTCGCTTCTGACCCGCTGCCCCCAGTGTGTGGGGGGCCCAAACGGGCTGGAGCTGTGCCCGCCTGCAGGGGGCAAGCGGCGGCCCCCCCGCGTTTTTCTCCTGTAAAGAGAATCCCTGGTTCCAGTTTGTTCCCAGCCCTCGACTGTCTTCCCGCCACCCGCAGGTTGAGAAACGCCGAGTCCACCCTGCTGCCCGAGGTGGGATCCGCGCTGCCAGAGACCAGCCTGGCGTGACAGCGCTTTGTTAGGAAAACAGACTGGGGGCCCTCCCTTTAGGGAGAAGGTTGATGGGGATCCGCAGAGCCTGGAGACCTTTCTTGCTTTTGATGGGAGTGCGCGGTGAGCCCAAATTCAGGGAGTGGCAGAATACAGCGTTGGCATGAAACTCCTTCCCTAGTAAGCTACACGTGTGGGTCTACCCAGGGGTGCTTTTGTGGCCTCTGGCACCCAGTGGCTTTTTTATTTTGCTCTCAAATGGCAGGTAGGGGGTTGCATGCTGTGGCCACTCAGGCCTGCAGTTTGTGGGGGAACAGCACAGCCATAAAGCCTGTGGGGCTTCATTCAAGCCAAATGGATTACAGTGGGTGGGGGCACGTGTTGGATTTTGTGTCCCTTCAATGCCTGGCACTAGGTCGTTTAATTGCTCCCTGTAGAAAAACAACTACCTTTCCCTCAAGTCCTTTCATTTTCTCTAGGAGGTGATCTCAGCAGGCCTTCACTTTGTCTGGCTTCTCATTTTTGGCTTGCTGAAGACCAACAAAATGTGGTGGCCACTTACACACTGAATACGAGGTCTGGCTGGCTTTATGGTGCTGTGCAATGTTGGGGCAGATAATGAATGAGCACAGGAAAAAAAAAGCAAGCAAAGAGATGGTGAGGAAGCTTTTCTTAAGAAAAACGGGGTGGGACTCGAATGAGGAGGAGGAGACCAGGAACAGACTGAACAGTCCCAGCATACAACAGGGTAAGAAGAGGCTTTAAAATGACAGAGAGGGGGGGCGGAATTAAAACAATCAAAACCAAATGCAAAAGATTAGAAAAGCTTTCAATAAATAAACAAAGATGCTGTGGAAACAAAATCAAACACAAGGACAGGGACAGAGGAGGCTGATGAATGAATAGGAGAGTAAGTTGCAGAGAGATGAAAAGGAGAGGCGAAATATCTGAGTTTCTTCAGTAGACTAATGTGGAAGATGATAGAAAAATTCCTCAGAGAAAGATGTAGAGAGAAGGATAATGTTAGACTTTTACTTAATCTTAATTCTTATGGGGCATCATTTTAAAAATATTGTACTTACTTTTCACTTTTTTTCTTTAAGTTTGAGCAACTCTGCTTCTTGTGAGAGCTAATGAGCAGGCTAATTACAGGAGTGGTTTTGTTTGGCTAGCTGAGAGCAAACTTCAGTGCCCACCATGCTGAAAGTGCTGTCACAACTTGATTCGTGTTTGCATAAAGATAAATAAAACAGATTATATCTCTACTGAAAAAACAGATGCTTACTATTTGTGCATGTGTACACATGTCGCTGTTACAGAGCTACCTGAATTGTGGCCCCTTTTGGTGATAGGTCTTTTTTTGCTCTTACTTATCTTGGGTTGAAATCATGTGGGAGGCTTTTTTCTTATGCTTTATCCAGGATCTTGCTGTGGTTTTCTGTGTATACCTCTGCTATTACCATGCAGGCCGTGTCAGTTGGAACCATCTCCCTTTTGATAGTTTAACGCACCCTCTTAGAAATCCAATACATAAATTACATTTTGGGCTACAGATCAATAATCCTTACCAAGTGCTGTGCATTCATCACAGTAATAAAACTTGCCTTCCTTGGAGGGATGTTATGAATATTGAAGGGCTCATTCTGCCACTCTTGTTTATGAATAGTTCTAGCTCAAGAAGTATGGATACTGGAAAGTCTTCCTGGCTTGTGCAAGATCTCTTTGAATCTGCTTTTGATTACTAAGAGCCAGATAAACACAAGTCCTTGTCAAAGTGCTATAGTGTTTGAAAAATAAGGTAAAAATCTTGGCTTTATGAAGAAAAGCCAAGACAAAAAGAAAAGGAGTGCCTCTGGGGCTTGAGCACCTCAAGCAGGAGTCTTGGGGTAGAACTTGTAACAGTGTTGTGCTAGGATGCCATCTGTCAATTTGACGTTTTTGGACTATTGCTAGTTTGACGCTGGAAAGAGATCAGTGGGAACTTCCTGTAGAAATCAGGTCATGGTCCTTGTTCTTTCTGGACTCCATTTTTGATAATAAAGAGCATCATTCATAAATGGAGTGCTTAGTTGTTAACCAGAATATATGAATTACAGTAGAAAATGAAAGATAACAGGAATTGTCTTCCTGGGAGTGTAGAAGAGTTCAGTCTTTAGTTGAGCCTACTTACTCCAAAGAATAGTTGACATACTTTTCTTTCTCACAACTCTTATAGATAGCATTTAAGGAAAAAGGTATTTTGAAGTGAAATAATGAAGAAAATAGTCACTTTCAGCTTCAAACTAAAATGATGCAGTGAGAAGCTAAAAACTGCCTGGTTGTTCCCCAGCCTAGCTAAAGGTAGGGCTATGCAAAACTTCAGTCTCTGATTTGATTTTGTGGAGATTTGGCCTGATTTGGTGGCCGAATATGTGAATCGAATCAGGAGACCCTTTAATCTTTCTGAATCGAATTGGTACCCTCCGAACTGATTTGGAGAGATTCGGAAAGATTTGGCGATTCGGACATAGATACAGCTTTAAATGTTTTTTCTACATACCTCTAGGTATCAGACAGCTCATGAGTGCTGCAATGCTGGGGCTCATGCAACATCCCAAAGGACTGCGGGGGGGCTCCCCAGCGCACTTGTCAGCAGATCCAGAAGTGGACCAGAAGCACTTCTGTTCCTCTTCCGGGTCCACCCGGGAGCACGTAGGCCCTGCCCCCCCCAGCCTCCCGCCTCGGCAACTAGTGTCTTCTGGGTCTGGGGAGGGGGGCACCTGGGGTCCCCTTGCAGCCAATCGCTGAGCTGGGAGGACACGGGGGAGGGGGGAGCACCCCCCCCATCCCGTGCACGTGGCAGTGGACCCGGAAGTGGACCAGAAGTACTTCCAGTCCACTTCTGGGTTTGCTACCAAGCACACAGGGGGGCCCTGCGCTCCTGTGGGACACTCCATCTGCCCCCAGCATCTCAACGTTCGCAAGCTGTGCCGGGTACCTTGAGGTATGTAGAAAAAAACATTTAAAGCTGCGTCTGTGGCTAAATCGCTGATTCTCTGAATCAACATTGAATCTTCAGGTTCAGATTCAGCCAAATCAAATCGGGGACAGTGATCTGAATCAACAAATCAAATCACTGTCCCCGATTTGGGCCGAATCCAAATATAATACGGCCTGTTTCACACACCCCTACTAAAAGGCTTGTGGTTTTCCCCCTTGCAGTGATAGGGATAATGTTACATGCCTCTTCCCCCATTCATTTTACCTACTTACGTCCCTAGATTTCTGATTTTGTTTTCTTCTTCTTGCCTATTTGTTTGTGTTCAGGATATTGGAGGGAACCTGGTTTTCACTGCATTTGACAAAAAGCCTACTTGGATGCATTTTCATAGCTGGATGTTAAAAAGTGAATTGAAAAAACGTGAACACTGAAAACATTAGTTCTGGTATAGCAGTTGTGTCATTTTCTGTTATCTGAGATATGTGGAAAATCTCATTTATTTTTGTTGTTTAAGTTTTATGGGGAAGGTTGGGGTGGGGGTGAGGAGGGCATCAGTTAGTAATTGATTGTCAGTCTTGCAAATCGCATTCCAGAAACAGATGCTTTGTTTCTTCTGAATGAAGAGGTGAACTAATAGATCACCCAGGACTAGATAATATTTTTTAAATCTTGTTTATATATTTTAAACAATGTGGGTATAGATATAAGTGGGGACCTGGGAGCCAGTATTAGAATCATAGAAAGTTAGAGTTGGAAGGGACCTCAGGGGGTCATCTAGTCCAACCCCCTGCCCAAAGCAGGACCATCCCCAACTAGATCATCCCAGGTAAATATTTGTCTAGCCGGGTCTTGAAAACCTCCAAGAATGGAGATTCTACCACCTTTCTGGGTAACCTGTTCCAGTGCTTTACTACCCTCCTAGTGAGAGAGTTTTTCCTAATATCTAACTTAAACTTCCCTTGCTGTAACTTGAGACCATTGCTCCTTGTTCTGTCATCTGCCTGCCACCACTGAAAACAATCTAGCTCCATCTTCTTTGGAATCACCCTTCAGGTAGTTGAAGGCTGCTATTAAATCCACCCTCAGTCTTCTCTTCTCCAAACTAAATAAGCCCAGTTCCCTCAGCCTCCCCTCAAAAGTCGTATGCTCCAACCCCCTAACTGTTGCCCAAACGGCTAGTTTCGTGCCCCTGGAGGCTTGTCCAATCCACCTCCAGGAGAGAGTCACACACACACACAGGCTGGGTCCAATTATCGCTTTATTGTTTGCAAACAAGTTCGACAAGGGAGCTTAATGCTCAAATCCGTGTCGACCCCCAGTTTCTCTCGGGGTTACACTTTTATAGCTTACATAAACAAAGGGCTACAACGTGTCATGCAACTATTGGCAGTACCGCAATTTCCTTGTTGTTATGTCTTATCTTATGGGCTAGGCTTAGTTTGCTATTGGTTGATCTCTCCTGTTAAGTTTAGTGCATGCGTATTTCAAAAGCAGAACTGCGGCAAAAAGTTCTGTCGCATGCGCAGAGGAAAAGGGGAACTGCAGCAAAGTTAGTGTCTTTTAGTAACCTTATACCTTAGTGTAACTTCAGGGCATTATGCAAGTATGGCTATAAAATGCAGAGCAAGCAGGAAGGAAAAAGAAACCCACAACTCAGACGTTAGGCCTTGTGCTTTTTACACAAGGGATCATGAGGGCCTCATACAGCTATTACTCAACTGAGGTCCAGGTTATAATGTATTTTTATCACAAAGCCAAACAGTTCTCAGCTGTGAAGCCTTTGTGTAGTGAGATGAGACATTTTTATCATACAGCTGTTATACAAACGTTATTGTAAAATCATAATGACTAGATTATAACACATTTTTATTACATAACCATTTCCGTTGCCTTTCGCTGGACCCGCCAATTTGTCTGCATCCTTTCTGTAGCAGGGGGCCCAAAACTGAATACACTCAAGATGTGGCCTCACTAGTGCTGAATAGAGGGCAAAAATCACTTCCTTTGATCTGCTGGTCTCCTACCAATGCAGCCCAGTATGCCATTAGCCTTCTTCACAACAAGGGCTCACTGTTGACTTGCATTCAGCTTACTGTCCACTGTAACCCCCAAGTCCTTTTCTGCAGAGCTGCTGCTTTGCTAGTCAGTGCCCAGCCTGTACTGGTGCATGGGATTGTTCTGTCCTATGTGCAAGACTTTGCCCTTCTCTTTATTGAAGTTCATGAGATTTCTTTTGGTCCAATCCTCCATTTTGTTGAGGTCTCTGAATCTTAGCACTACCCTCCAGCATATCTACTACTCCCCCCCGGCTTGTTGTCATCTGTAAGCTTGCTGTGGGTGCACTATCTTTCAGATCATTGATGAAAACATTGAACAAAACCAGCTTCAGAACTGACCCTCTCCCTCTGGGGCACTCCACTTGATACTGGCTGCCAGCTAGATATTGATTCATTGACTGCTACCCTCTGAGCTTGATGATCGAGCCAGTTTTTTATTGACCTTACAGTCCATTCATCCAACCCATACTTCCTGATTTCTCTCCAGCTCTGTTACTAACCGTAAGCTCTTCAGCAGGTCACTTAATCAGCTACACAGAGGAGTTTGTTGTTGGGATAAGCAGATATGAGTCCAATTGAAGTCAAGTGGAGTTGCACCTGATTATTGAAGGGCTGAATTTGGACTTACCAGAGTGTATAGATTTCCTCCAGAGGTAAAGATAGCTTCACATCGCCCTTCAGGTGCAGGTAAATTCTGATGTTAATGTTTGACATGTTTGTTTTGGGTTGTCTTTTGGTAAGCATCATCAAAGTTGCATTATTTATATTCAAGGGAAAGTCATTATTTATATTCAAGCGAAAGAGTTCATGTAAAGGTGAACTTCCAGGACTTGAGTCCAGGCCCTTGGGTATGTTGTGTTTCTCTAGCAGCAATTGAGCTAATACATACAAACAAAGCAAGGTTAGGAATGCAGCTTCTGCTCTGTTTTTTGTAAGAGAAACATCAAGTGTGAGGAGGGTCTTCAGGACCTGACAAGCAAGTGGAGATAGCGTAGAATTTTTTTAAGTCATGTAAATTTAAGTTTTATTTCCAAGATTAGCTCACCTGCTCTCCTGGAAATCCAGTTGGTCCTTTGCCAGCTAGAGTTAGGCTTCTGAGTATGTTTGAAAATCCCACCATACATTTTAAAAACATACCAGTATTTAACATTGAAAACCTGGGATTCTGGACCGTTTTGGTTTTTATTTTTAAAGATTTTCCATTTCACCTGTAACCAACAAAACATTGCCAAAGCTACAGCTACTTCATTAAATGAAAGCACATAGGGGTTTCTATACCATGGTTTGTTTAGGTCTGTATTCTGGTTCTTGAGAAATAGTAAAGTGCTTTTGAATAGGTGTATAAGAAACAGGGCATGTCAAAAGTGATCAATCCCCTGTCATATGCTCCTGGTTACCGGTGATCTGTGGCTAGAAATAGATGTTACCAAATGAATTGGATCATCTGTGCCAGGTTGTGTTTTGGCACAGCTGATCCCCTTCATTGGGCGAAACAGTGACCCATTTTCCTATCTGTTGATCTTACAGAACCCTGCTTCCAAAGATGCACCTCACAGATCCTGGGGGCATCTCTAGAAATGGGGAAAGTTGGGCAGATGCTGGGTGGCTGAAGGCTATGGGCAGCTCCAGGCTGCTTGCACTCACCTGCTATAAAGCAAATAAACATCTGCCACAATGAAGCAGCACAAATTATTACTACCTTTTGTCACAGCCACTACCTTTTGGGTATTTGTGGTATGACAAAGGGTATAGACATCTATTTACTTTTGCTTTGTGCCACTGTAAAAATGTTTATTATGGCACAAAGTGAACGGAAGGCAACATCTGTTTCCACTCATAGGTATAGGGACGTCCTGAGCCTGCAATTATGTTTATGATTATATTTAATCACCCCTGATAGACCCATTCTCCTTAAATTTGTCTAAACCCTCTTTGAGGGTCTGCTTAGTTTATTTGCTTCCACAACTTCCCATGGCATGGAGTTCCACAAGTTAATCATGAATTGTGTAAAAATGCACATCCTCTTCTTTGCTTTATACCTGCTGCTTGATTTCATCGTTAATGCTTTAGTTTTGTATTATGAGATGTGGTGAGTAGCAGCTCTCTCTTCATTTTTTCTATACCATTTATGATTTAGAGTAAAGTACTTTTGAATAGGTGTATAAGAAACAGGGCATCTTTCTTCTAACAAGTTCCTCCTTGGTACATCTTTTCCTAGTCTAACATATCTACAAAGGGGTAGATATGTTTGTTATGTATGTTTGTTTTACTGCTATACTGGCATCTCTTCCCTTTGTTCCTGTCTGTTTTGTTCACTTGTGGTTTTCTTTAAAATTAAGCTCCTGATCCTGTAATCTGATCTTTCCCTGCAGCCCTGTGGAGCGCTGCTGACTTTGAGGCTCTGTGTGAGATCAGAGGCTCAGCTCTGCGTATCCAGTTGTTGGATAGAAATCTAAAATTGTCAAGTCTTTGAGGTAGAGATGATCTTTTAATATACATCTGTACAGAGACAACCTGAGCAGGATGCAGGGCCTGGGGCAAATCAGCCTGTGTGGGGCCCTGCCCCCGGATACAAGGAAGCTGGCGGCGGATTCAGTGGCGGGGGGAGCATGCTGTGGCTACTCCGCCTGGCTCTGCAGGGCCCCCAAATCATGGGGCCTGGGGCAATCATCCCAATTTGCTGCCCCCCCCCCCCCGGGACGGCCCTGCATCTATACAGTATTTAGCACAGGGGTAGGCAAAACATGGCCCATGGGCTGGATCTGGCCCAACTGATTGGGTCTGGTCTGCAGGTGGACATCCACTAGTTGGTTGGACCTGGCCCACGGTGCTCTGCCTGGGGCTGAGCTCAGCACCACCCAGGCAGCTGCAGCAGCAACAGCCCCGCTGGGAAGCTGTGTGTGCTAGGAGGGGCTGGATCTGGGGTTGGGGGGAGTGCGGCGCAGACTGCCCCATGTGGGAACAGGTAGGGTTCGGCCCCATGCAGAGCGCTGCAGGGGCAGCCGTGGGCTTGATGTGGGACTGCTGTACATACCCCTTGCCCCTCCCCTCCCTCCCCCCCACTCCCAGCCAGCTCTGGGTACCTAGCACCTGTGTACCCCCACTCCTCCAACCCCTCCTCCACATGCACCCCACCACCCCTACAATATACAAGAGTAAGGCTTTATTTTTAGCTATTATGCAATGCCCTCTATAGACACTAGTCAAAAAACATGAATCAGGACAAACATTTTTTTAATTAAATTAAAATATGTTACAGTAAATGGTTGTTTTTTAATATATGATTTGTCTTTTGTATATGTTTTGTTAAAATCATACCTTCTAAAAGATCTTGTGTGCAGCCCTCGACAGCTCACCAAAACTCATTAAGTGGCCCTCTAGCCAAAATAATTGCCCACCCCGGACTTAGCAGACTAGCAGCCCTAAGCTGGGCACAGCCCCTTGCTGATATTATAGTATAAATAGTGTTATAATCTCTTGCTGCTATTTATTAGTAGTAAAATTGCATCAAAACCATGGGGCCTGAGGAAGGACACTGGATGCCTGAAAGCTTGTCCAACAGATCTCCCAACTCTACAGTTGGTCCAATAAAAGATATCACAAAAAATCCTTGCCCATCAAAACTTTAAATCAGTGATTCTTAGCCAGGGTGCCACAGCACTGTGAGGTGCTTTGAGATCCTTTTTGGGGTGCTACAGGATGCCATGCAATGTTAGCACTGTTGGGTGTACAAATATGATTCATGTGATAAATGCAACAAATTCAAATAAGAATCCAAAGTATTAAAAAAAGTTCTGTGTGGGGAGGGGGCAGCAGCCTAGACCCCAACACAGGAAACGGACTCCACTCAGGGGGGGTCCTAGGCTCATTTGGGGTGGAGGGGCGTAATGGAGGGGTAGCCGCATGCTGAAAGAATTGTGTGGCCCCTGCTTGTGCTTTCTAGAGGGCTTGTGCTCCAGGGGCCCTCCAAGAGCTCCATGTTTTTTCAACTAGAAGCATAGCGCTACCCCTTCCTCAGCACCTGGCTACCCCTATGTTTCCACCCCTGGGCCCATAAGAGACTGGAACCTAGAGTCCCTGGGAGGGAGGTAAAATCAACAAAGTCGGCTTTCCAGGGCAGGGCTTGAAAAGTAGTGCAGTTGTTGAGGTTGGCTGGAGTGTGGGGGGGGGGGCACCCAGCCCCCAGGAAGCAGAAGCAGGGGGCCATGCACTAACCCCAGTATCTGGCTAACCCCCTTTCCCACCCCCTACATGAGCCTGGGACCCTGCTGTTCAGGGAAATGAAGCAGGGAAGTGAAACTGATATGAAGGCTTTCTGCTATCACATCACTCCTGCAGACTCTGGTCTTGTAGGCCAGTGGTTCTCAATCTTTTTTTGTACCAGGACCCATTTGTAAACATAAGTGGCCAGTCCCAACCTGCTGCCTCCCACACCTAGGCCCCAGCCCTACCCCCCCATGTGTGTGGGGGGGTGATGGGGGGGGGCCCAAGCAGCCCCTGGCAGGTTGGAACTCTGCCAGCCTGCAAGGAAAAAGCCATGGTTTCCAACATTTTTCCTTTTTTAAAGTTTGTTACCCTTTCATATATTCTTGCGACCCACAGGTTGAGAAATGCTGGTGTAGGCAATAGATGTTTGGGCAGTAGAGTCCTGGCTGCATCCTAGAGCAGCTCGTTGCCCTGCAAGGCCTTGTGAGGAACAGTTAAGTTTGGGATGCCTGGAGGACTGACTGGACACTAGGCACACAATGCTCTGTGTCTGCACATAACAGTGAACCGGTTCACAGAGGAACAGTTCAGAATAGTTCTTTCCCTGTGTGCTTTTGAAATGTTCCAAGTAATTTAAAACATTCTTAAGTGGCATATACATCTAGATGTTTGAGGGTTAAAGTGCATGTAGAACGATCCTAGTGTTCCATCTAACCACACTGTATGTAATGTTTTGTTTTGTTTTGTTTTTAAAGCAGGAAGCTGCCGAGGTCTTATATGGCTCCTATCTGACAACATGCACCACCAGTGGTTGCTGTTAGCTGCATGCTTTTGGGTGATATTCATGTTCATGGTTGCTAGCAAGTTCATCACATTAACTTTTAAAGACCCAGATGGTAAGTTCAAGTTTAATTAAATTTGGTGTAACAGAACATTACTTAACGTTGTGTCCAAAAGTGGCAGTGTAATTGTTGTGCTCATCAGGGATCCCAGTGCAATGTTTAGCATTTTTATGTAGGAAGATTTGAGAGTGGAGTGGTTATGTTCTGTGTATTACCAGTGTGCAACAATGCTAACACTTACACAGTTTGCATTCTCATCAATAAAGATGTAAAAAACTAACACTGCTACCAGACTTCTAAACTTGGGAACAGATGGGATCTCATTTTGCAGTTCTGCCTTGTGATATCCAAGTTCTCAAATCAATTCTATTCAATATTATGATGTGCTTTTTATGAGTTCAGTAGAGTTACATGAGCTGTTCTACTGCTTCTGAACGTCACATGGATTAGCTTGTGCCATTTAAATACTTGCCCTTCCATTATAATTTTTAGAAGAGACCATAACAAAATTGGATTTGTAGTGCACTTAACCTCACTTCCTTTGCCTTGCTGCTTACAAGGCATGCCACTTTCTCTCTCTGTACTTGTGAGTTGCTGTTATGAAGCAGATCAGCAGGGAGTATATGATGAAGGCAAGGACATGATATGCAAATATTGTTTCAGAGCGTGTTTGCATTGTCAGAAAACATCTGTATTTCTGTATCTTCTTAGAAACATAAATATAGTTATGAGGAGCAAAATCATCAATACAGTTCAATGAGTGACTTGTCAACGGATAAATGCCACACTTCAGTGTGACAAACCCAGTGGTTTCTGCAGCCTTATGAAACAAGGCTTACAGATTGTTGGATAAGTAAATCTCTTCACTTCAGGCTTTTTAGGAGCTCTGTTACGGCTTCTGCAAATGAGCTGATCTTGGTTTAAGTAGGTAAATGTTTGAATCCTTTATACTATGCCAGTTCTTACTTCCTAGCAGTTTCTTCCGAGTGTTTCTTTCCAGCAGGGAACATGAAAAGAGTTTATATGCCATTTATTATTTATTTGTTTCAGTCTTTTATTTGGAATACCCTCTGCATTATTTTTGTTTGTTTGGACACCATCAGTTTTTTCCCTTTTTTCCCCTTGCCATTCAATACTGATTCCTCCCTTCCTTGAATTGTTACTGGAGCAGAGAATGGTGCAATTCCCTAGGCTCCAATCCTGCAAACACTTAAGCACACAGTTAACTGTACACAAAGTAAATACTGCTATTGATTTCAGTTGGACTAGACATGTTGAGCATGTGCTCTAAGTCTTTGCAGAATCAGACCTTTGCTTATTTTATTGAGTAGCTGATACTGGAGATAATACTGTTGTGTGAGGACAAGCGGGAACAATACGTGTTAGGGAAAGGCTGCTGCAAAGAGAACATGTTGTTTTGTGTATGCCTACAAAAGAATGATTGGGGAAGAAGAGGGAAAGCAATATTGATATACTCTTATTTTTTATTATTTGATACTGATAGAAAAATGGTATAATGCCTCACCACATGTGAGTAATGTTATCTGACTCTCTAAAGTGAAAAGATGTCAACTTTTTAGTGGGAGGGTGTAAAGGTAGAGAATATTTATAATACTCTAAATTAATCCTTTTTAACAAACCAGATTTGTTTTGTCTCTGCTGCTTTAAAATTATTGCTTTTTAGGTCCTTTTATTTCTCTGTGGCTGCCAGCTCTTTGGGTTGGTATTTGTATTAATGTTTTGGAAACTGGGCCGTGGTCCTGGGATGACTGCAATTTGGTTTGGGTAGACTGCTTTGCCTGCTCAGACTCTTTGGTTCAACAGTCTTTGTCCAGGATGCTAGTTGTAGAATTAGGGCTGTAGTATGGAAATGATTCCCAGGGTTCCACTTTTGTTTCCAGTGAGATGTGATTCACAGTGTGTTTTTTACTTTGACTTTTCTGTTCTGTCTGTATCCTCAACAATAAATTTCTTCCTTTCCTTTCACTTCCTTGTTTTTACGTATTTGTTTTTGTTTCATAAGGAACATACAGACTCGCATATGTGCATGTATACAAGAACACACATATAGAAGCAGTTATTCTCAAAAGTAATCTTACTCGGGTGATGAAGATTCCAGTTATTTGCATCTATTTTTATTTAGCAACTGGGTCTGGAATAAAACTGTCAACTGTTCTTTGTATTGGAGTTCTGCTTTTCACATTCGACTGAGAGTGGCATTTTTTTCCTCTATTTTTTTTCTTCTAAATTACCTAAACCAGTATTGTTCTTTTTCATTCAGGCTGTGCTACATGGTATGCTGCAGGCTGATTTATGGGGCCTAGAGTAGAGAAGCAATTCTTGCCTTTATTTGTCAAAACACTGGCTCCAATAGCATCTTTTGGACTTTGGAAATCCAACCTTTCTGTGCACGAGGGATGAGGTAGCAGACTGATGAAACTGCATAGTTTATTTTCTTTCTGCTCCTCACTTTGGTTCGTTTTACCTTTGGCCTCCAAATGTCTCCAAACTTTACCCCTTATACATGTGGGCACATAGTGTTTGGGCAAGCTGCATGTGGATGTGTGCGCCATAATACAGAGGGGATTCAGATTCCCTATGAAGGCTTCTCAAGCACGTGGTTCTCATGCATGAATACTGGGGTACAGCACTCCATTCCAGGTTGGATCTAGTATGCCAGTATGTATGGGAGGAGGGAACAAGATTTGCTCTCATCTTGGACATATTGGAAATCTGGGCTGAAGCTGCCAGGATGAAGTTCAGTGCCCACAAATGCAAGATGCTACATCTCGGGAAGAATAATCAAAAATACAGATACAAAATATGTGACATGTAGCTGGATGGCAGCACTATGGAGAAGATCTGGGAGTTTTGGTAGATCAGACTCAATATGAGTCTGCAGTATGATGCAGCTTCACAAAATAAAAATGCAGTTTTGGTATGCATCACTAAAAGCATTAAGTACAACCTACAGGAGGTGATAGTGCCTCTCTACTGGGCGCTAGTTAGGCCTCATTTATTGTGTGCAGTTTGGGGCTTCAGCTTTGAAGAAGGCCACAGAGAAGTTAGAGAGGGTCCAGAGGCAGGTGACAAAGATGATGAAGGACTTGGAAAACAAGTCACACAAGGAGAGGCTGAAGGAGCTAGGCATGTTCAGTTTGCGGAAAAGGTGCTGAAGAGGGGATATGATAGCAGTCTTCAAATACTTGAAGGGCTGCCATAAAGAAGTTGGAAAGCACCTTTTCTCTCTTGCTGTAGAGAGGAGGATGCGGACCAGTGGCTTGAAGATGCAGAACAGTAGGCTTAGTATGGATATCAGGAAAACCCTCTTCACTGTAAGAACAGTGAGGCAGTGGAATCGACTGCCTAGGGAAGTTGTGGACTCTATCACTGGAGGTGTTCAAGAAGAGGTTGAAATGCCACTGGCTGGGAATTAACTAGGGGTAGCTGTGCATAAATTCTATGGGTATTTTCCAGGCCTCTGGGCTTTGCTGGTTACCAAATGGGGCTAGGAGGGAATTCCAGTCTCTTCCCCAATCCCCATGCTCCTTCATGTGTCAGGGTTTTTTTAAAGCCCTCAGAGGAACTAGGTGTTGACTAGGGCTGTGCGAAGTTTCATAGTTTCTAGGGTTGGAAGGGACCTGAATAGATCATCAGGTCTGACCCCCTGCCCTGGGCAGGAATAAGTGCTGGGATCATAATACCCCAGCCAGATATCTATCCAACCTCCTCTTGAAGACCCCCCAGGTAGGGGAGAGCCCCCCCTCTCTAGGAAGCCCATTCCAGAGCCTGGCAGCCCTAACCATAAAGTAATGCCTCCTGATATCAAGCCTGAACCTACTTGCAATCAATTTGTGGCCATTATTCCTTGTTATCCCAGGTAGTGCCGGGGGGGTGGGGTGGGGAACAGAGCTTCACCTATTTTCTGCTGGTGCCCCCTGGTGAGTTTATAGATGGCCACCAGATCCCCTCTCAGCCTTCTCTTGTGGAGGCTGAATAGATTCAGGCCCTTTAGTCTATCTTCATAGGGCCTGGCCTGCTGCCCCCTGACCATGCGAGTGGCCCTCCTCTGGACCCTCTCAAGGTTTCCCACATCCCTCTTAAAGTGCGGTGTCCAGAACTGGACGCAGTACTCCAACTGCAGCCTGACCAGCGCCACATAGAGGGGAAGGATCATCTCCCTGGACCTGCTTGTACATCTGTAGATGCACGACAAGGTGCAGTTAGCCTTCCTGACCGCTTCCTCTCATTGGCGATTCATGTCCATCCTGGAGTCAACAATGACTCCAAGATCCCTTTCAGCCACTTTCAGTTGCTGATTGGATTCAGCAGAGATTTGGCCCGATTTGGTGGCCAAGTCTCCGAATTTGAATTGAATCGGGAGAAGCTTTAATCTCTCTGAATCGGAACCCTCTGAATCGATTCAGAGAGATTTGGAAAGATTCAGCAATCCGGCAATAGACACAGCTTTAAATTTTTTTTCTGCATACCTCGAGGTACCAGGCGGCTCGTGAATGCTATTTTGTGGGGGATGGAGCATCCCACAGGAGTGTGGGGGGGGGGGGGGGCCCCCGCGCGGGGGGGTGGGGGGGGGGGGGGGGGTCCCCAGCGTGCTCAGTAGCAGACCCAGAAGTGAACTAGACGCCCTTCTGATCCACTTCTGGGTCTGCCAGGGAGCGTGCAGCTGCATCTCCCCAGCTTGGCGACTGGTGCCTCCTAGGTCTGGGGAGGGCACTCGGGGTCCCCCCATGGCTGATTGCCATGTACTTCCAGTTCCCTTCCAGATTCGCTGTCAAGCATGCGGGGGGGGGGCATGCTTCTCTGGGATGCTCCATCTGCCCCAGCTTCTCAGCAGTCACGAGCCACGCCTGGTACCTTGAGGTATGTAGAAAAAAACATTTAAAGCTGTGTCTATAGCTGAATCGCTGATTCTCCAAATCAGCATCGAATCTTCAGATTCGGATTGGGGCGAATCAAATTGGAACAGTGATCTGAATCAACAAATCAAATCACTGTCCCCGATTCGGGCTGAATCTGAATCCAGATCGAATATGGCCCGTTTTGCACACCTCTGGTGTTGACTGCAGCTAAGGCTGGGGATTTAAACTGGGGTGTGCCAGTGCTCCTTCTGGGACTTAAACTCAAAGTTCTTGGCTAGAGGGTCTTGCCTCTGTTCAGGGTCAGACTGATTATCATATTTGGGTTCAGGAAGGAATTCTACTCCATGGCCAGATTGGTTTTGCCTTCCTCTGTAGTTGGGGGCAGGAGGTGGTGGTAGTGTGTGGGCCCACTTCTTGGGATCTCTTGAGCATATATTAACAATTTTACAGCAGCAGTATGCTGGCTGTCATAGTCCCTCTGCTTTACCTGTAGTACATTAGGGTATTATATCTTGTGTTATCAGGTTGTGTTGTGCCAGGGTAAACTGGGTTAGATTCCTGTTTTCCTTTGTATTCTCCATAAATATATATGGTAAAGCTAGCAGTCAGTGTTGTCCTAGAATCTGGGCTATAGAAATATTGTATGTGGGGAAGTGCATCCTATTTTACACCCTTAATTTGGTCACAGATTTTCAGCTGCATTAAATTAGTTCAAAAAGAGGAATACCAACTAAATCTCTTTTCTTATGAGCCTAGTGACAAATGAGAAATTGATCTTACATCCTTTGGTAGTGGCAATATGTGCTAGGGGAAGCTGTTCAGCAGACAAAAATGCCTTCATCAATTATACTTCGGCTATGTCGAGTCTATGAATTTATAGTAAGAAAACCTGTACACAAAAATGAGCACAACCTGATAGATTAATTTTTTGTTTGGCCACAGTTTTTTGAGTTTACTTTACTTAACCAATAGGCTCAACAGAAGATTTTTTTTATGGTCATTTGTCAACTGGACACAATTTAAATGTCATACATTGCATTACTGACTCAATCACATTTGAAATGACTATGTGAATCTTTTGTATTGCATTTAGATTTATGCCATATGAAAGATTAATACTCCTATATGCACTTTTGCATTACTGACTCAATCACATTTGAAATGACTATATGAATCTTTTGTATTGCATTTAGATTTATGCCATATGAAAGATTAATACTCCTATATGCACTTTGGAAATGAAAGCCCAAGAAAATATAGGGTCATATTTATCTGTGGTGGAATGTTACTGAAGTTACACCAGGGGTGAACCACCAGTATCCCAGAAGAATACATCCTCCAAAATATGAGAGAGAGATTTGGCTGTATTTGTTTCAAGTACTTTTTGGAGTGAGTGCTCAATTGTGTTTGATGCAAGAAGTGATACCAATGATTGACTGTAATGCAGAAGTAATCGTCTTTTCCTGTAGCTCTTATCTCTCGTTCTTCTCTAGAATATGGTGCCAAGCAAGAACCATTAATGCTGACAGCTATGACAAAAGTGGAGAAGGTACAAGTACCAGAGGAGAAACGTTTGCCTGAAGAATTCCAGGTACATGCTATTGAGATGTGTTAGGTGTTTAGAAAAAATATGGAAAATTCAGATTTAATGAAAGAGAGTCCTTTACTTAAAGGCACAAGCAGTTGTGGCACAGGACATGTTTAATTGCCCTTTTATTTAGATAAGTAGAACTCCTAGAGTTCTTAAATTTTCATGGTTTATGCTTGTAATTTATGGTTATAAACTGCTCTGCCCCACCACTCCCAGTAAGGTAACCTTATTTTCTAATGTTGATTCAGCTTAAAAATATGTTCCTATCTAAATGGAAATGTAGCATCACCTCTTCTTTTTAAAGATAGGCTGGCCAAAGTAGTTGCTCTGTCTTTTGCATAGAGCTCCAGATTCTGCTGTCATGCATATCCTAATCCTGAGCTATCCTGTTGCAGTCATTTGGACTGTCCAGTTCCTGAGGGCAAAATCTGGCTTTTGTAATCAAATGAAATATCTTTCCACCTCTGGTTTCTTTCTTAGTCTTCTTGCTAAGTCTCTCCACTCTGATTTTTTTTCCCTTTTCTTTTTCCCACATTGCTGCCTTCATTATTTTCCATCCTTTTCTTAATTGTGCTGTCTCTGCTCTCAAGATTTTACTTAAGTCGAAAATAATTGCAATAGCATTTAGTAGAGGTTGAATTTTGTAGTGAACAATTCTGAGTGGTGGGAAAATGGACAAAACAAGCCTGTCAAATTCTATAAATGTATAGGTTAAACTCATGTCTTCAATGGAACTAGAATTTGAAGTTAGTTTTAGAGCGAAGGAATACATTTTTTTTGTCCACGGTCCCAAATAAATCAGATTAGGCTTTACTTTTTTACCTATACAAATCGAAATTGAAATAATTACCAAAATGCTCAAATCAAGAAAGCTTTGGTTTTTTGTACCTTGGTTTAAGGCTGGAAACATTTTGATTGCATAGTGATTATTCATTCACTCTGCCCTTGTATATCTGGGAAAAAATAATGAGGTGTTTAGACCCAAAGCGGTCTCCCTCATTATGCTCTAACAGTTTCAGGAGCAGAACAATACTATTAATCCTGAACACATGCAAAGGTGATGTTTACAGAATGATAAGCATTCTGTTAGGCTGTCCAAGTTACTTCATGGCCAAAGTGAAATGGATGCAGAAAGCAAGATTATATTTTCCCAGATGGCATTGGGCTGAAAAATAAAAAAGTTTTTAATTGGCCTCTATATATGTGTTTCATAGATGCTGCATCTAAAGTTCCTGACACTGTATCCAAATATGGATAAAGGCATTTGAGTTTCTTTGCTCACTTAATCAAATGCTTCTGAACTTTACCTGAGTAACAACAGCAAGTGGTTTCACAGCTCATAATTAATACGAGAGAGTAATGTTAAAGTCGCCTCTTTCATGTTGTATCTTTCTAACATTTTGTGTTCAGTGGCAGGGACAATAATTTAAATCTAGACCAGTAAAATACAGCTTGAACTAGTAGAATGGGGTGGAAGGGGGAGGAGAGGGGCCTCCAGAGATGTCAATAGCCAAGACATAGCCAATGCTGTAACTAAATTTTGTTTAACTGGATTTTGCCCTGCTGCTAAAATCCCCAGATAGGTAAGTTAGGTCTGGGGCAAAGGTAGAATCTCTCTCACATGTTTGGATTTCCTGAAATATTAAAAAAAGATGAGTTCAGTGGAGTCCCTAGAGCTTTCCAACTTTTATACTGTTTTTTGTAGTAGAGAAGCATAGGATAAGGGGAGAGCAGTATTCCATTGAAAATGAGTTTGGGGAAATTCACACTTTGCAAACCCACCCTTCACAACCAGTTCACTTGACTCATCTAGTTGAAATCCAGTGTCTGGGACCAAAAATTAATTGATTTCACCCCAAACATACAAATTATTGTTTTAAATAGTACTATCCAGGTGGGTGACTGGCTTTGAAAAGGTTAGCTTAAAATGGGGAAAAATGACTGATGGCCATGTATTTTTGTCCCCTCTTTTTAATGAAATATCTGGTCTTTTCCCTCAGTGAGAGAGATCTTGCAGATTGATTAGTAGGGAGAATTATTGATAGGAAAAGGAGAATTCCCCTCCCCAACCAATATTGATGATATCAAGACAGCCTCATTTTATAACTAAAGGATTCCTCCCTTCCTTTTTGAAATAAGAGTGGCTGTCTTGGCAGTTCTGCCAGGGCCTGGCTTGAGAACAGAAAGTTGGAGGCAATTAAAAAATGAGAAGAAAGGGAAATCATGGTGCTTGAAGGGACAGTGGTGAAGGAGGGAGGTATGTAATAGACCAGCAGACTGTGGAGAGGTTGCTCGCAGAAGAAAGATTGGAAGTGGAGTAACAAAATAAAAGCGCAGAGGGACAACTTAAGAATCTTTGGAGAAGGGATTAGAAGAGGACTTTTCAGTCCTCCTGCAGGCCTTTAGTCATACCCCTCCAACAGACTGTAGGTTTGTCACTAAAACCCCATCTACTTCATGTGAGATTTAGAGTATATGTCAGAGATGCCCTTCTTCAGAGGATCAAATAATTTAAGTTTAGATCTCACAGCACATGCTTGGCCTTAAGTCTGTGTTTTTAATAACTTTTTCTGAGCCTTAATGCTTTAGTCTTAAAGCCTTTTGCTTATGGCACAAAGGCCATAAGCTTTATTGCCCTGCAAGATTGGTAAAACAGCTTTGTCTGCTGAACTTTTAAACCCAGACTGCTTATTTCAAGGTATTATATTAATCTGTGGGCCTGATTTTTTTAAGATATTTTCCTAAGCATCCCACTATCTCTCTCTAACAGAATAAGAATGCTTTTACCTATTTTTTGGAAAGCCAGTACCTTAAGTAAAATAAAGAATTGTGTAATCAATAATAATTTCCACCAGAAATAATTTTGAGAGGTTTACCCTTATGTCTTTGTAAAGGAACAATAAAATCTTAGTCCCCCCCACTTCTACTTTTTTCTTCTTCTCTTTTTTTGACTGAAGGATTTCTTTCTTTTAGGATCATCCTTCCTTACTCTGAATACTTCTAGTGCAGGCCTCTGCTTTCCCAAAAAGTAACCAAGTAGAAGAGCTTTTGCTCATAGTGTTCTAAGTGTACCAGTGAAACAGGCTCAAAATTTTGCAATTTTCAATTTGCTGCAGCTGGAAGAATTGGAAGTATTGGTGGAAGACATCACATTAGACTACACCTAGACAGAATGGTTCTTTGCCAACCAAAGGGTAGAATTTCCTTCTCCCTCCCCATTAATATTTAGTTTCTGCTGAATTTCTCCTGTCCTGTAGCCTGAAAATTGCCACTGGCAGTTCAGTAAATATATTCTCCAGGCTCTCAAAAAAGTGTGGTTTGTTCCAAACTACAGATCAGATAAGACCAAACCCTGTTACAGCAAGCCGAAAAGTGCTATAGAGGAAGACTTGCAGTTCTAGATGGTCATTGGAAAAAGCACACCAGCACCAGTAGCAACACTGCTCAGCATTAATGGATCTAGGATTTTGAAAAGGGCAGTGGAGCTGGTGTTTTGCATCATCCCATATAACACGAAACACATTTTTCTCCAGTTATAGAGAAACTAGATGCGTTACTAATATGCTAAGGGGCTAGCACTATATTACTGCATTTAAGATAAAAGCAAAAAATATATATCATTATTGGAACATGCACTAATTTACTAGATTACATATACAGTTTAAAGAAACCACAATGAACTAGGCAAAAAGTAGTCAAAAGAGATATCACTAGCCCGCTAGTCATTATAGTTAAATGTACATCTCTTATTCAGCTTCATAAAACAAAATTGAGCCTTCTTGAGTGTCTTGACAGTACCTCCAGTACTTCACTGTCAGTCATTTCTACACCTGAGTTAATATTCTCACACTTGAGTTAAGGTTTTTAGCTAGAATTAAAATAGTCTGCAGGGCTGTGAAATAGAAGAGAGACATTACTGGGAATGGCTAACAGAGCAAAATTGCAGAAGAAAGGATAGTTTGATCCTTTCAGAGCAGAAAAAAACAGGCAGCTGGTTTTAAATTTTGGGTGGGGCAGGAATCAAAGGTGAGGGTTGCAACTGCACCACTTCACCACCACCTAGATCCACCCCTACTACTAAGAGATGGGCTGAAGTGGCATCACTTCAGTAAATAGCCAGTAATATTTTGGGGGGGAGGGCGCTGAGGGCACAGGGGAAGAAAATTGATACAGCTAGACTGATTTCTTGTTCTTTACATTTTGATATAAAAGCAAAACACTTGCTTTTCTGTTCTTTTTTTTCACTAATAAGCCAACTGGAAAAGTGCTTTCTGGAAATCTGATGCACCAACCTCTGATCCATATGGAAAGACTTGAGCTTCTACGGAATGTTTGCAGAGATGTAGCCCTGAGAAATCTTTCTCATACTACAGTTTCCAAGTTCATCTTGGACCGAATATTTGTGTGTGACAAGCACAAGATCTTGTTCTGTCAGACTCCAAAAGTGGGCAACACTCAATGGAAAAAAGTCTTAATCGTATTAAATGGTACCTGTTCTATTTTTAATGGGCTTTTTTGATCAGGGGGAAGGGCAAAACTATGGGAAAATGGGAACACAAATGGGAAAGCATTGAAATCAATTTCTTTGCATACTCCTACTAACTGTTACTTCATTCCAGTCATTCATTTTTTGCAGTTCCTTTCAGTCCTTTTTGAATGTCATCTTTAAAAATGTCTTTCTGCTAAAAAGAATATTGTTGTTTTGACTCCGAAGCAATTTGAGTCACTGAGGAATGACTTTTATAAATGTAGCAGGGTTGCTGTCAGGGCACTTCGTGATACACTTGTTTAAGATGCTAGTTACAAAGTGCTATAGTTCCCTAAGCCAAGGCAATTTTAAACTCTCTGGAATGGGAGAGTCCCTGTTCTCCTGAGCACTACCAGGAGTAACTAGGAATAACAGCCATAAATTGACTGAGAGTAGGTTCAGGCTAGACATCAGGAAACACTACTTCACAGTCAGAGTGGCTAGGAGCTGGAACCAACTAGATCCTAACCAGGGGAAGTGGTGCTCCCTCCTACCCTGGGGGTCTTCAGAAAGAGGCTAGATAATCACCTAGGTGTGGTCATTTGACCCCAGCATTCTTTCCTGCCCATGGCAGGGTGTTGGCCTTGATGATCTGCTTAGGTCCCTTCTAACTACCCTACCAACTGTGAAACTATGATTGAACCTAGCAATAAAAGGAACACTCATAACTTCAGGTTTCTGGTCATAAATATTTAGTTTTTCAATAATGCTGTAAATTTCCAGGGCATGAGGCTGGATTTGTTATTTTGACTGCAGTTCTCCATTTTAAATTTGGCAGCTGCGCAAGTCTATAAAACTGAGATTTTAAGTGTATATTATTAATGAATCATGGCATGAGTTATCAGAGATCAATCAAGCAGTTGGGGATTATAGCCTGATTAGTGAAAATGGTAAAATGAATTAAAACAAGTGTAACAAGATTGCATTGTGATTTTTATTAAAATAACACAGCTTCATTTAATTATTTTAATAAAATAGCACAGGTGTTCACTCTTTCTCTATACAAAATAGCTTTCTACATGTGTGAAGTCTTCTGGTATGTGAGGAAAAATAATTTGCATCCTTTTGGCTTTATGCTAAGGTGTAATGCATGCAAACCTGAATGAACACTTTAACTTGAACACAAGTATCAAAGGAAGGTGCATTCTCTGGTCTCACCTTTATAATGTTGCCATTGACAGCCTTATGAAGAAAAAGTTCAAAGGGAGCATGAGCATGAATTAAACCACAAGATGGTTTAGTATACACAAGAGATTTTGCAAATGCCATCATTAAATGGTAAATGGGTATAATAATTTGGGGATAGCATAAGGAGTATCCTGCAACTTGCAACTCAAGAATTAACTTGGAAAGCAAAGGTATATATGAGATGGTCTCAGTTACTTACACTGGCAGTACCATGCAAGACCGTAGGGCTGTCTAGAAGAAATCACAAATTGGCAGTGTGGTAGTTGTATTTGTTAGACTGTAAGCAAGGTTGTCATTGACAATTTACACCTTAATGACCAGTACCAGAGCATTAATTTGGATGTAATTTCCATCTTAACATAAGGGGTTGAAAGCTGGAACCCCACAGAAAGTATAGATAGATGTCTAAATGATTGTGAAAGCCACACCTTGGGGAAAATACTAGCTATTAAATAGAAGGAATTTATAACATATGCTAAGATTTTTCTCTGAGATTTTGGCATCTCTTTGTCTCCAAAGTTATTCTGAAAGGAAGATGGAAGTCAGTGACGCACACAGGCTAAGAATGAAGCTGGCACAACTGCCGTGGCAGATGCTCTATTGTGCAGCTAGAAGAACATAAAAAGTGGCTTACCAAAGAAATCCTCTACAGTACTCAGAGAGTACTTACTTAGTGAAAATGGAAGGCATGCAAAGAGCAGCTCAGGGTTGCTGATGGTGGAGGAGTGTTAGTCTTGCCCTAAGCAACTTGTAACAGTACTGGAGGGATTAGATGCATTTATTGGAAAGCTTTTGTTTAGGCATGAATGACAGGACTGGGAATTGGAAACTTTTGCCTCCAGGTTACTCATATGAACTCATGACAGTTTGATAACATTAAGTTATTATTTGAGTGCTGTGGCCAATGGTGAGAGATGTGCAGTCTTGCTCCGGTTCCCAGTAGATGAGTGCCTGGTAGCAAATACCAGCACTTAGTTTGACACTGGTGAGCTCAGCTCTCAAATTGTGGATATTTATAATTCTTTATCCATAATGGAGGCTTATTCTCCAGCTCAATATATAGGGATCCAGCTGGGAATGGATAGGGAGGTTTCATTTTTTTATGGCTGACCAGTCTTGCATCTTTTGCAAGCTCTAAATTCACACAAGTAAACCATCAAAAAATTTAATATAGCAGAAGCCCAAAATAATTAGGATCTAGGTTCTGTAAATTACTGTGGCATCTTCTAAACTAAGCTTTTTACTGAACTGTTTCTCATCGTTAGTAGCTCCAGTGGAGGGTGGAAGCACTAGGGTAGAAGAGACACATAGAACGGCTTGGTTTTATGATTCTGTATTTGTTCCAGCATTGTAACCTATTACTGCTGGTGGGGCACTGGTGGGCAAACTTACTATGTAAGTAAAGGCAATGAGGGCAATGATGCCAGGCACAGTACCATTTTTATTTACTCATAGCCTTATAGACAGAAAGAGTCCCTTTTGATTTCCCTTGTGCTCTGCGTGGATATATCACTTTGCAGAGCAGGATATTTAACCATGTGGGGCAGAACTTAGTTGCTGATAAAGTCCTGGAGATACTTCCGTATGATTTTATTATTAAAATCTGTGGATGTTGAATGATGTGAATTTTTAAAAATTTTCATTTTAGTGTATAGGTGTTCTGAAAAGAGGGCAGGAAGGAGAGGAGACAGCTAAGATACTGACAGCAAAGTGTTTAATGTTCTTGCAGTTCAACTAGAATTTGGTTTTGTTTCCAACAAAAAATGAGAGGAAAAAAACCCTTTTTCTCTTCCTCAGAGTTAATCTTCAAAGTCTTTCCAATTGCATTTCATGGAGAGTTGTGCAAAGGGGGAGGAGGGCTTGGTTTTTATTACAGAAACAACTTGTTCACCGTGCATTATTGAGAGACTTGAACTGATTTGGCTACAGTTGTAGTCATCACATAACAAATCTCCAAAAGAGGTATTCTGTTAAGTGTTAACAGCTGCTAGCATTGTGGTCAGAATCTCCTGTTCTTTAACTACTGTAAATCCAGTAACCATAGATACAAGCAACACAGAGAAGGCGAAAATCCACCACTGAGAGACATGTTCTTTTGTTCCTTTCCTTTCCTGTAACTTTTATTCTATCTGTCTGATTTATCTAGGAGCATTTTCTTCCATAGAAGAGATTCCAGAGAACATTGTGCATGACCACGAGAAGAATGGCCTACCACGCTTATCTTCTTTCAGTGACTCTGAAATACAGAAAAGGTGAGAGGTGATTTCTTAGGGAAGTTGGTGAATTTCCAAACCAGAAGGGGAAAAAATGAAACTGCATATTTCAGATTCAGACCTTGAACCAAGGAGGCTTTTACTTCTCTTATACCCTTTGTTCATCAGTGTACTTTTATTGGCTATGTGAATTTTGATGTTACCATCCCATGCCTATTTCCAAAGGGTAATTCCAGTATGTAATTCAAAAGGGTAATTCCATATAGATCTATTTAGAATGGTGGTCTCCAGTGTTTTTGGGTAGGAGATCACTTTTTGAATTAAAAAGCAACCCAAGATCTACTGTGCGTTGCCTCCTTCTACCCCGCCCGCAGGTCAGTCTGTGGGGAGGGAAGTGGGGCAGGGTGCAGATCCAGGCAGAGGGAGAAAAAATTATTTGGTGGGCACGCCTCCCCCCAGCAGGTAAGTCTGGAGGAAGAGCCCTGGGGGAGGGGAAAGGGCAATGGCGGGGGCGGGGCAGATTGAGGCCCCAGCAGTGAGGGAGGGAGCAGGGCACAGGCAGGAGCAGGGGCTGGGGAGGGTGGCGGTGGGGTCCTGGCCGGGCAGGGTGGTGGGACAAGTGGAGGCCCGGGGTATGTGTTGTCGTTGTCGTCGTCCCCCCCGCCCCGACCTCCGTTTGTTCCCCACTCTCCCCAGCCCCTACTCCTGCCTGTGCCTTGCCCTCTCCCTCACTGCTGGGGCCTCAATTGTTCCCCCCACCATGGTAGTGAGTAAGGGAGTGGGGCAGGGGCAGGCCCTGCACAGCCGGGGTAGGGTGTGGGACAGAGCTGTGAGTAGCTCGTCTGGGAAGTGCATGCAACCCAGGAGGGCATGGTGGGGGTGTGCCCCTATATCTGCATGCAGGGCAGGGCAGGGTGTACTAGGGCTGGGGCAGTGCTGGGCTCTTCCCAGTGGGGGTGTTTCGCCACACTGAACTCGGGCTGGGCGGCGGAGGCAGAGTTGGGAGCGGGGCTACAGGGGGAGGAGGGGCTGCAGGCACGTAAAAGTTTGCCATAGGTCCCCTAACCCCCTCCCAGGACTGCTGCCGCTGCCCATGCTGAGTGCAGCCCGGCCCAGGCCCCACCAGGAAGAGCATAGCATAGTGTACCAGCCCACAGCAGCAGCCTGCTTGTCCCCTCCCCTCCCCCAGCAGGGGGATGAGAAGTTTGTGCTGGGTTCTTCCTGATGGGGGGTGTTGGGTCATGCTGCGCTCAGGGCAGGTGGCAGCAGTGCTGGGAGAGGGTTGGAGGGCTACAACAAATTTTTGGGTGCCTGCAGCCCCTCCCCTGACCCATAGCTCCCCTCCCAGTGCTGCTACCGCCTGGCCTGAGCATAGCATGGCCCAACACCCTTGCTGGGAAGAGCCTGGCTCCAGCTCACAGCTGCAGCCTGCCCCACCCCATGTGCACATCCGGGGACATATGCCCCCACTGGACAAGCTGCTCGCGGCTCCATCCTGCACCCACCCTGTCTGTGCAGGGCCTGCCCCACACCTTCACTCACTGCTGCTGCAGCCAACTGTACTGCCCCACATGGGGGGAGAGGTATGTGCCCCCCCATCTTTGTGCAGAGGTGTCTGCCATTGCAGGCTGGACTTTGCACCCCGAGCCCTGCTGCAGCTGGTCCAGGAGTGGCTGTTTGCCATATGTGTCTCGCTGCTGGGCTGAGCCACACCTGCATGTAGCCAGCTCTAGCAGGGCTCAAGGCGCACCTCTGCCCCATGCGGAGATGTGGGGGAGGGGCACATGCTCCCAGGGCCTCTGCTGGGGTGTGTCCAGTGGTGGGTGGCTTCCCCCCACCCATGGATGAGCCCCCTGGGCTCCAGTCCTCCCACCACCTGGCTGAGCTGGGGCCCCACTCACCTTCCTCTGCTCCTGGCTGGGTCACACCATCAGTCCCTTACTGCAGGGGCCTTGATCTGGCCTCCGCCCCTTCCCTCCCCCATAGATTGACCTGCTGGGCTGGGGGAGGGGTATGTGCTCATGCGCGTGCCCCGCCCCCCCCCAGCCCAGGATCGACCAAAAGAGGCTCCCCAATTGACCAGTCAATCATAATTAACCAGTTGGGGACGACTGATTTAGGATATCTGTTTATTACTTAAAACCACACATCTTCAGGTTGTTTCTGACAAGCAGTAGACAAATTGCCCAGAAGAGCTTACCATCTAAGGGTACCTGAGATTCTACCACCTTTACTCATGTTGATGCCACAAAAATCAGGGTTGGGGAAGGAAGAGGGCAAGAAGCAAAATGTTTGTGGACACTTGGGAAGAGATTTTTATGTGGATGGCTTAAAAAATTTGTTGTTGTTGTATCCAAGGCCATAGCTTTTACAAGCCACTTTGAAGAGAAGGTTTTAGGTAAGGATAGCTCCTTAAGAGAGAGGTGACCCCAAATCTGGGAGCTGGTCCAAAGTCCATTAAAATTGATGGAATAAATCCCAGTGTTTACAGTGGACTTGGATCCTTTGGACTTTGGTCCTTGTAAAATCTCCCTTAGAAACTACTATCACATCCCTAAGGTTGGAGAGTCAGCTGTTCTGTCTCCAGTGAGCAACCCTGCTTAATACCTGACTGTTCACCTTGGAGGTGGCCTTGAGACACTGGGTGTTCTGAAGGTGAATTCCTGCAAAGTCTGGGTTGTTGCCTTTCAGACGATCACAGAAATCGGCTGAAGACCCAAAGCTAAGATTCGGTTAGCAGTCTTGTACCAAACTGACAAAAGATTTTAGTAGGGGAGCAGAGGATGGTGTGCATCTGGTTTGTGCTCCTCTCTAGTCCTACCTTGTTAGTTTAGGCAATTGAAGGCCTGATCCATTGTACAATAAAGTTGATGAAAGTCCTTTCATTGACTTCAGCGGGTATTGGATTGAGAGGTTACCCATGTAGGGGGCAGTACTATCTCCACTTCCATGCATCTTGCCTCTTTTTGTTTACAGTAAATTAAAACTAAATCTTTACTGATGTCAAAACTAACTGTGAAAAAATTATGATTCTGAATATCATTCTGTCCTGTCAGGTATGAAAGTTGTTTTTGTAAACTATGATTAAGAAATGTGTTTCAAAATTTTAAATAAAAAGTAAAAATTATGTTTTATATAGCAGTAATTTGTCTGGCCATCTGGCAGTGAGAGCTCAGCTCTTGTGTGTGTTCCACTGTGTATGTCCCAGCTGTTGTGGATCACTTTCTGTATTTTTGTTCTTATTTGCACCTGAGACTTCTGCATTTAGGAGTTCAGAGCTGTTCGCTGTTAATGGGATTCAGCCCTCTTTTGTCAGTTAGCAAGATTCAGTTAATCCTTAAATTATAGAAACAAAGCTAAACCCTCCTTGTTTTTACATTTTTCAATTCCTTGTACTCATTAAAGTAAGTAAAACATTTTAAGCCTTGCTCATTGTAATAAGTGCAGGTAATGAAAAGGGCTTCTTAAGAGCCATGTTGTTGTTACAGAAGTCATCATGTTTCATCTAAGTTTTATAGCTCTTCAGTAGCTTGTTCTTTTCTTCCATCTTTTTAATCCCTGTTATTTCTTTTTTCCTTTAGATTGAATTTATACTTCAAGTTTTTTATTGTAAGAGATCCATTTGAGAGACTTATTTCTGCATTTAAGGACAAGTTTGTCCACAATCCTCGATTTGAACCCTGGTACAGGCATGAAATTGCTCCTGGTATTATCCGGAAATATAGGAAGAATCGCACAGAGACTAGGGGGCTGCAGTTTGAGGACTTTGTGCGTTATTTGGGTGATCCTAATCACCGATGGCTAGATGTTCAGTTTGGGGATCACATCATTCATTGGGTAACGTATGTGGAACTTTGTGCTCCGTGTGAAATATCATACACTGTGATTGGACATCATGAAACTCTAGAGGATGATGCTCCATATATCTTGAAAGCAGCAGGAATAGACCATCTGGTATCCTATCCCACGATTCCACCAGGCATAACAACATACAACAAAACAAAAGTAGAGCGCTATTTCTCAGGAATTAGCAAGCGAGATATAAAACGCCTGTATGCCCGTTTTGAAGGAGACTTTAAACTATTTGGATATCAAGAGCCAGATTTCTTGCTAAACTGACACCTAGATTAAGCTGGGAAGAAGTATCTATTAAATTAGACTATGGCATATGAACGTCAGCTGCCACACTGGCTGAACTGAGACTGACCATTATTTTCTATCTTTTTGACTTTGCTCCATTTTTGGTGGAATATTTGTGGACAATTAGGGACTCCGTGTTATTTACTGACCATATTTTCAGCATACGACATTGCAGTCTGTTAAGAATGAATCTATGTTGTCTAAGATATAAAATGCCACCTAACCCTTCTTCCTTCGGGGAGAAAGAGGAGGGACCAATAGGTTATAAAAGAAAGTAAAATAGAATGCAACTGAAAAATGTTGTAAAGAAGGCAGTTCACTGGAGGTTAACTTTAGGCTCAGCTTATGAAATTTGTGTAGTGTTGATGCTTACTATTTACCAGACAGAACTGTGGAGTCTCCCACAGGCTATGAAAACTAGAGGCCAGTATAGGACCAATAATAAATGCGCTAGAGACAAACAAATGATGTCCAGATTCTATTATGTGATTATTGTAAAGGTTGTGCTGATCTAATCTCATTTTTGGTTTTGCTTTTTTGTTTTTGCCACACATGAAAAATTATTCCAACTTAACAGAAGTTTTAGTTCTATCCAGGAAGGGCTGATTTCAGAGGCCTTTTGTCTTTATTCCTGTGTCCATAGTGCTACCTGTCCTTACGCAGGTTTATCATGCCTCACAGTTGTTATACTTTTGTTTTAATTGTTGACATCCAAGTTTGTAAGATGTCCAAACACTTCAGATACAAATGGAGCATAGTTTCCAAGAAGAAATATAGGACTGTTGGGGAAGTGAGTTAAAGTAAAGCTAGATGTATTTGCAAGAGCAATATAAAAGCCAAGACCTGCTCTTTAAATACTGTGCATTTTAACTTGGTTTATTTTCTAACTGTACAAGCTGCTAAGTTTATTTAATAAAGTTGTGAAAAGAAGAAAGCATGTAAGAGTTGCCATAATAAACTGGACTAATGCTCCATCCCATTCCAGTACCCTGCCTTTCAGCAGTGATCAGTATCTGGTGCTTCATAAGAAAGGGAAATCTCCTTCCCAAAAATGCTCTTCCCCAGTCCTAAAGAGGGAGGATTTGCTCTTGATGCTTCCAGGTAATTGTTGGCTGCAGTTTTCTAAAATAAGTATCCAAACTTTGTGTCACGTTTAGGTAACTGAGCAACTTGCCATGTATTCAAGAATTGCACTTAGTTTTAAAGTTGAGACTAAATGAACATAAGCATAACATTTACGTGCTTGTGTATTGTTCCTGTTTGATTAAGAGAAATCTTTGTATTCACCAGCAATGAAAACCTGCAGTTGATCAGCTTAACTCCTGCAGTTAATGGGAGAAGAAAGCCAAAGCAGCATTTGAAGATTCAGTGATCATGTTTTGGTTCTTGAGCTGCACTTGAGACACTGCAGATCTAAAGGATGGATTTTGAATATTGATATGATATCCAGGAACATATAATGATGGTCAGTGTGGAGTGAACCTTCTTTCTTATGTCTAGCCCCATGTATGTTTTGATAGCTGCCTGTGGTGAGACCAAGGAAGCATCTTGCATTTATAAACTTGGGAAAAAAAGAATATCCGTGCCAAAATTGACATGTGCTGCTGTCCACAAAAAGAAAACCCTGTAGTAGCTGAAGCATCTTGACAGTGTGCGTGATGTACAGAAGAATCATTTATTGTCCATTATTAACAAGAGAACAGTTCAAGGTGGCAAAGCTTGAAGGGCTCTTGTATTTCTTGAAAAAAGCAGCAGTTATTATGTCCTAGATTTGTTAGTTCTTCACTGATAATTAAAGGATATTAATAGCTCAATTACTATTTATATGATGTCTTAGCAAAGTATATTGCTAAATGCATTTCAGAACTAATGAGCTGATTGATTACCTCTGCTGAATAAAACTGTAACAGTTTGAATAATGTATAGAATATTAAGGCCTTAAAGTTTAGTCTTAATAAAGATGAAGTATAATTTCTTTGTCTCCAGCAAAAGATACTGATCACACAGAATAGTAACGTGTCTGTTTTTCTTCTTCTTACTGATTGTATTATTGTATTGAGTACTTCAAGTCAGTCAGATGGAAGGTGAAGAGACTTAAGTAATGTTACTGTTTTATCACCAGATTTCTCTAACTCTGTCTCATTTTTTTCCCATTTCATAATACTATGTATAGGGTCTTTTGATTATTGATAAACTAATGCTTACAGAGTACTTCTAGGAATATGACACAGTGGTAGGCCAGCAGAAGATCATACCAAATTGGAAACTACCAAGGGGAGAATGAAGAGAGACAAAGTGAGGATGTAGAAGGAAATAATCTATCACAATTAAAGAACTCTTACATATGGGGGATTGTGTATGAAAGGGCAGGTCATATCGCTCATCAAAGGTAGAGGAGAGAATTAAAAGAATTGTGGACCAATGTCTCTAAAAAGCAAAAAGGAAGGTGAATAGAAGGTGTCAGACCTCAAATGCAGGGAAATGAAGGGCATTAACAAGAAAGGAGCCATGCTTTTACAGTCAGTGACTTGTACATTGACAATCCTTTATCTTCTTGTACTTTTTCCCTGGTAGAAATCCCTCCTCCTTTCAAGCACAAAGGAGGCCAATTAGAGCATTTCTTGTATATTAGCATGATAGTTGTTATAATTTCTGTAGTTAATTGGCAAAAAACAGAAGAAAGTTGCTGAGGATGCATGCAGAATCCAAGGGACAAGTCATAACTCCTAGTTCAGCATCTTTAGAAATGTACTGAAATACCATATGTACTCAAGTCCAACATGAAGGGTTTTTTTCCCCATTCAAATGGGGCAGGGGGGAAGAAACTCTCTAGGATTTGAGTACCAACTGAGGCAGGTGCTGCTCCAACTGGTCCCAACCCAAGGGAAGACGACATGGAGTGGGGTGGGGCATGGGGCGGAGATTGTGCAGTGGCAGGAGAGCTGTTCTGGTCCTGGGGCTGGGGCAAGTGAGCCAGAGCCACTGTGCGCTCCGTGATCTGGGCAAGAGCTGGAGCCAGAATCTGAGCTGCTTCACATGGTAAGCTGTGGGGAGGAAAAGGGGAAAGCAAGTGGCCAAAGCAGACACCAGAGGCAGACAATTGGGGTACAGGCAGCAGGGGGGCAGACTCACAGGGGAGTCAAGGGGCAGGGGACAGCCTGCTTATTCTGCTACTGCCCCCACTTGCCCCCCTGCTGCTGCTTTCCCTGCTGCAGCAGTAGGGGGTAGCAAATTTAAGATGATCCCCCAATAATTATATTTTATACGTGGAAAATTATATGGAAGGAAAGACTATGTATCATGATTCCAGGTTCCTCCTATGCTGACAAGTAGCAAGCTGCAGCTGTTTCATCAGCTGATCTGGGCTTCCAGTTGCAGGGATGCACCATCAGCTGATCGAGGCTCCTAGCTGTGGGAGCACATGGTGCACCCCTGTAGCTGGGAGCCCCAACAGTTGATTGCTCCCAGCCTTGAGGATGCATGGAGACTGAGAGCCCGGATCAGCTGAGGGGCCCCCAGCTATGGGGGCCACCCCTTCTCTACTCCCCCAACGGCTGCCTGGCCACATGTTCAATTAATGGCATGATAGGAGCCAGCAACATAGTTACTACACGCTTTTGTGTAATAACTGGTTTATTCCTCATTTTATCACACTTACCCAGCCACACACTAATGCAGTTAACAAGACATGATTAACTGGTTAATCATGTCTTAAGTGTAACGTGTGCCAGGGGCCTAAAGCACTTGAATAACTTCCTCATACACTGTCCTCAGGATAGGTCACCTTGGTTTTTACTTATAGCTTATGACTGACAAGATAGAAAAAAGCAAAGAAGTGCTAATGGAAAATTCCCTTCCAGCAAATTTTGTTTGCCATTGTGTGTCTGCTGCCAGAATGGTGATAGACTTACCCTTCTGAATTAGCGGTTGAGCCTACAGTGGAACTTCACAGAGTGCTATGTAAGCCTCTCCACTCTCAGGGAGAAGCTACTTCATCTCATTTGGAAGCTTTCCTCTGGCTCTGGTTCTGCCTTGCATAGAACTTCATCTGGGTCTCTTTAATGTAACTTTAGTGTGTCGCTTTCCCTTAGTCATCTGTTGCAATTGTCTGAGATGCCACGGGCCCATTGCCACCAGAACAGATGTACAGCTCTGAATGTACGATTGCTTTGTAATGGAAGTGGCCACAGAAGACCAGCAGCTATAAGCGTCTAGCTAAGTAGCTGATGGCAGCAGGCTGATATAACCCAAAGTACCTCCAACAGCTGACAAACATACTGCTACTCAATACTGAGGTGCACTCAATCATCATTTCCCCTCGCTCTTGGCAAAGGCAGTAAGGGTGAAAAAAATATGTATTTGCCTGAAGTCAAAACAAGCGAGGATGCTGACAAAAATTCCAGCCAATTAATGTCTTCTAGTAAGGCAATGTTGAAGAAAGCAACTGATAATTGCCTTAAAACTCAAATTTCGTTCAAGACAACTGCAAGTTAAAGACTTAACGTGCTTTACCATTCATTCCTGTAGAGCCATGCGTATATCTAATCTGTAGTTTTAATTTGTTTCTCACCTCTTTCGCCCGCCCTGGCACTATTAGATGGCACATGGTAGTAAACATACCTCTCCTCCCCTGCAAAGAGTTGGGAAATGACTACATAGGCATTTTTCAGGGGCAGGGGGCGGGGCTGTGTTTGGTTAGATTTTTTTTGCTTTTATAGCATGATCACTTCAATGTTCAGAGCGCTGAATGCAGAAAAAGAACTGTTCTGGATTACAAATTATTTACTATGGTGTTGCAGTCTTGACAATGCTAAAGTTACTGATTTCAGATGTTTAGTTACAGCCTTTAGTGTTATGAATCTTCCCTACTGAATAATTACTGGGTTATTCTAAGTTTAGCTCTTCTTCCCTAAAAAAGAATGATCAAAATCACACACAACCTATTGGCAAGGTAGACCTACAATTGGAGCAATGTGAAGCTCCTGAAATGACACTAAGGGCAAGAAAGGAAGGGTTGATTCAATGGCCACCATCTCTGTAGTTACCTGGGATCTCTCTGGTCTGCTCCATTAGGGTGGGAGATAGGCATTAATTTGCGGTGGGAGCTCAGAACCCCCAAAAGCCCCATGCCGAGGGGAGGCTTCCAGATGCTTGGCTTTACTGGAGGGAGTGAGGGGCTGGGAATCCTTTGGTCCCTAGCCATGGGGCAATCTAAGATGGTAGCTTACTGCTAGAGCCACAGACCCAGGAAACCACCTACAAGGTAAGCTACAAGGAAGCCATGCAGGGTTGGATACAGTTCAAAAGGGTGGATGTTTAAAGTTTAAAAGTTTTTGAAACCTATTTTTACAGTGTCTTATTTTGAAAATGCTAGGTATCCTGAAAATAAAGTTTAAAAATGTCTGTGGCTCAATTAGTGGTAATTAATTGTATTTAAATGTATTTAAAAACAACATATTTAATTCTTCTAAAATACAAATTAGCTGGCTGTACTTGCTTCACACTTTTAGGAGAGATCAAATCTGAGTTGACACCTACCTGTAACAATGGTGTAAATACCACCACCCAATTTCTCCTTTCCCCAGATCCCTCAAATAGGAAAATGTAGATTTTGTAGCTTAAACCAGGGCTATTTGGATCTAGGATTTTGATCACTCACACAGTTTGAATCTAGAACTGCAATTCAAACCTGGCCATTTAATAAGGGTCTTACTTTGGTACAGAGGCTGCTGTTTTGAGTCCTTTCTTGTTTATTTGATTCTCCTGTGGGATTATGTAAGGGCAATAAACAGTTCAAAGACTTTATCTTTGTTATTGACTTATACTTTGGGAAAAAAGCTGGTTTTCCTACAACTGAACCTGAAAATGTGAGGTTGACTTGTATGCAGATTCACCTTATGATCAGAACAATACAGGATTTCTTTTTTGTCCTTCTGCCCAGTACTGTTATTACAGCTTAGACAATGTTTATAACAATTC